GTACGTTACACGCGCACATGCGGTAATGGCGGCAACAAGTGGAAGTATGTGCGATACCGAAGCTCGATCGGGAAAATCAAGATCTACTTTCGCTTTAGTTACCACCCAGAAATTTGCGGTAGAGCCTATAGTAGTCTGATAACGCCACATTTGTAGCATGCAGGCTCTGCATTACAAACGCTGTGTCGTCATGAAAATAAATCGTTTGTCCTGTGCTGTCACTTGTGTGAAAAAAAAGAAAAGAAAAAGAAAGTTATACAAGCTTCTTGTCGGGCTCGCCATCGTGACCGGTCATTGAACCTGTGCGTTTTCGTCACATCGTTAGTATCGGCAATGGTTGAGGTCACCAAAGTTCATGCAAAGTTTGAGCGCTGCGAAGTATAGGACTCTGGAATGGTAGGATTATTGATTTTTTTAAAAGACGCACGCGGGAGGGGGAGGGGGCTGGAGGTTGAAGGCAACACTGGGTGACAAAAAAAACCTTAACTTGGAAGTTGGTAGATCTCTAGATCTCTCTGCAAAGGGCGCGTTGGTGCATAATCCTTGTGTGGAATCGGGATTGCATTATACTCAAACCGTCTAAGCCGTGTTCTTTTTACTAAAGGGTTCCCGTTTCATTGCGTTGGTGATAGTAAATTATATGTTGTATATTTTAGCTTTCTGTTCAAGATTCGCAGATTTTCAGTGTCACTGCATCTTGCCCTGCGACAGTTCTTACACCTCTCGCTCTGAATAAGTCTACTTGAGCCATTCATGTTATTACTTTACTTTGACTTTGAGCTAGAGTAATAATTTTTGTCTTTCACGTTTAATATATAAACCTTGACACCCCAACTGGTTCTTGACAGTGGATATTCTGGTTCTAGGCCTTTTCTCAGGCTCAAAGCAAGATTCATTTTTATATAGTTTATATAGGCGAATATAATGAGGGGAAAATATAAATAAGTTAGAACAGACTGAAAAACCTAAGTCACAGTATCCCAGTGCCACACTGACATCATGTTGTTGACTGGATTCAATGTACCTATATGCGTGTGTGTGCATATATTATATATAATATATAAATGGAGCATGCACTGTCGTTGTTATGTAACATGCCCCTGGAAAATGGATGAGACCCCTCCCCCCCCCTTTGAAAATTGAGAAGCCGGGTTGGCAGTCACCCTGGGAACAGTTTTTCTAGGAAAATCGAAACTATGAATATGATATGATTCCTTTCGGACAAGTATTTTTTAAAAAAATAGGCTTTCGTCATGAATTTCTTGACCAAATCTCCTTGAATTTTAAAAATTTCTCCTTGAAACCTCCTTGAAACCTCCTTGAATTTGATGGGAAGTTCATGGCAGGAACCCTGATTTAGACAAGGAGTGGAGACATTGCTCTGAAAAGTAAATACCAAAGGCAGTCACTCTATGCAATTGCTAAATGGTTGATGAAACACTGAATTTTTAAAGAGTGTTTCTTGGGCTGTGAAGGTTTTCTCAAATAAAAAAAGATTTCACCATGGCTTCAACATTCTGAACTGGTGAGGTACTTGGGTTTTTTTCACTTTATCAGTCTTCGGTACTATACGAGTTAAGAAAGACTGTCAGATTCATTTCATTTTCTTAAAAGCACAATGACTACATGCACTGTAGTGAATTGCAAAGTAGTTTACAACTTTTCAGATAATTTTATAAGATTTTGGACCCCTTTTCGAAGAACTGACATGTTTATACTCATGTGGGTCTATTGTTGCAGAGTAAGTTGAGCCCATGCCTGCTGACGTTTGAGACAACGAGTGGGCGTGACTACCGTGCAATCTTCAAGCACGGGGACGATCTCCGGCAGGATCAGTTGATTCTGCAGATGTTTCAGCTGATGGACAAGGTGAGAACTGACAACTACAACAGGTTATGTTATTCCCTCCAAATTGAAAAATTCTTTACAACTCACAACAGTTTATAGTCTGGACAGACAAAGGCAGAATGAGTTTTGTGCACATAAAAACATAGATCAAGTTTTACACACATTAAGGTAACAGTAATTTTGGTTATGAATTATAATTTTGATTGGAAATCTGTTTTTTTCATAACTGTATTGCCGTCTGATTTTATGTGTTGTTGTCTAAAGAGGATGGGGGGGCAGATAATCTTGTTTTCAAATGTAGAGAAAGTGATGCTGATAGTTTTTATTTTTATTTCTCGCATTAACTTTTTATCTCCTGCAAGCCTCTTCCAGTGGCTCGTGGTTGGAATCGGTGTGCCAGTGAGGACTTCGACGTCAAATAACTTTTCGGCAGTTACTGAAAACAAGTCTCTTTTACAAGAGTTTGTTCTTTAGATAAAGAATTATCAAAAAAGGTTCTCTTTTTATGATTTAATGACCAATTTACTAACGTTTATGTCACTTTTAGATTTCGTAACATAATAGGGCCCCGACATAGTGGGTTTAACCCCCAGATATGAAGCGTTAAATGTGAAAAATGTGGCTAAGGAAGTCATGATTGAACATATGTATTGTCTTATCTCTCAGCTTCTAAGGCATGAAAATCTGGACCTGCAGCTGACCCCATACAATGTATTGGCTACCAGCTCCAAACATGGTATGTCACATATTATTACTCACCCCAAACAACTTACAAAGCTCTTTGCGTCCCAATATACTATCACTGTTAGTTTGCTTTACATACGTATGCTATTGAAGCATGCATTTTTAAATTATCATTATAAAAGCTTAAGTAGTTTGCTTTTCATAAGTATGCTATTGAAGCATGCATTTTAAAATTATCATTATAAAAGTTTAAGTCAGAATGTCTTTTTTCCCCCTGTTAGTTGATCCTGTTATTGCATTGAGTGAAGAGTATTTGATAGGTAGCACAGTAAGTCTTATTGTCTACACCTAGACTAGGCAGACCTTGATAAGAGAGATAAAAGTGCCCCAAGCAGTATAAAGAAAAAAAAATACTCCGCTTATCAAGGTCTGCATTCAATTCACACTCTTTATTGGACCAGTCTTTCTGTCCAGGTCTTTATGACGCAGTGTATCCCTAGTCAAGGATGTTTCTTCCTCCTGTTTTTGTCGCTGTCTTAATCCTTGCACTTTGTTCTGAGTTTCACTTTTTATCAATTTCCCTGTTTAGGTTTTGTGGAATTTATCGAGTCAATTGCGCTGTCTGAAGTGTCCAAGGAAAAAGCCATTCAGAAATTCTTGAGACAGCATAACCCCAGTGAGTCAGGTCCTTATGGGATTGCAGCTGAAGTCATGGATAATTATGTGAAAAGTTGCGGTAAGTACTTTGTTAAGGTGTGTTATTATCTTTTTCTGAGCACTTGAGGCTGTCAGCAGTGGGGGTGGGGGGGTGTAGTAACAGGCAAAATGGCTTAGGCTTGAGCCCCCCACCCCCAACTCTTTCCCTATGTAAATGAATGTTTCTCAATTAACATAATAATCAATTGAAATGGTTAAGACCGCCTTAGAATCTTCTGCCCCTAGTTGCATGTAGTGAGCACATGCACTTGCTCGTGTATCCTATCAGTCTTGTCACCATTTGCAATGAAAGTAACCTAACAGCCAATCAAATGTCTTTAGGGCTCAGCAAAGGGTGAGTGCGTTCCTACGGTCCTTTTTTAATGAAATTCTTCTTGTAAAAAGGTAAAAGAAAAAAAAAGAACTCCCAAAAATTGTTGTCAGAGAGGGCTCGTTCTCTGCAAGCCCTGACAATGGGAGGAAAGTTCTTAACGCACTTTCCCCCAGAGACTCAGTAATCAACACCCTCATTGGGCCCTGGTTAGGAATATCTTTCTTTTTGTGGCTATTATATGGCCTAATCTAGTTACTGTTATGTGTGTGTGTAGTATATGACACATACACACGCTCACACGCAAGTGCTTACATACGCATTGACTCTCACATTTATTTGTGTCATGGCATGGTGGAATCAGGCGCTCGTCAATTTTGGGGCGTACGGAGTTATTGGTACCATCTTACTTAAAGCCTGTCCATTCTCCTCGCTTGTGATGTAAAAAATATCAATTTATCTTCGATACAAGTCAAGATATTGGTGATTGAAGGAGGTGGGGGACGCCTGGTTTCAGAGGTAAAATTAGCGAGAAAATGGCCTCCAAAGTTTAGTTATTTCCTTAGCTTGAGAGTCCGTGGAAACTGAAAATTTACATCTTTTATGCCTTTAATTTTAATCAACGTTGCTCAGTAAAATCAACACAGAAATGTGTTTTTTAATGAGCATGAAAGGTGTTGAGCCAAAAAACACAAATTTGATAAAAATTCCCAAACCTGTGGAAAAATGCCAGTTTCTTTATTTTGACGAGCGCCTGATTTCACCACGCTGCCTCACATTTAGACTTTTTTCTGAACTGAGAAAATCTTACCTTTGAATTGAACTTACCCCCTTTTCTGAGCACCACCCATCATTTTGATCCACCCTCTGCCATTGGCTATCAGTATTGTATTTTGAAATGGAGGTAATTTTTTCAAGAGAGGTTGATGTTATTTTTTTTATAATCAAAAGCTCCTGAATAGCAAGTTGTTTTTATGTTACCCTTTTGAGTTGTGATGGAATAAATAAAAATATTTTTTGTGTTCCATGTACACAAGGCAAGTTTTTTTTTTTTACCTCCTATTGATTGCACTAAGGTAGATTTATATTGTAGCCAAGTAATGGTAACTGGGGACTGGATTTAATCTTCACAGATGCGAGATATTTTTAGTTAGTGGAATTTGTGAGCGCCGTGAAAAAGGAAGGCAGCATATTAGAAAATATTCTAGAGTGCTTGTGGAAGAAAGAAAGGAAGTTTCCTGTTCAGAACGCATAATTGGTCACCCCAGATTTCGGGGGTTTCCAGAAATCTTGACCTACACCAAAAGTGAGCTTTGCCCTACCTATAGGAGAAGTTTGGTTTCATTGGTGTGTATATTTGTTTGGTTATTGAGAAAACTCTCCTTGCCTTTTGAAGAAAGTGGACAAGGGGAAAAAACTTTACCTTCGATTTTCTCAAAACAGCGTTTTTCGGGATAGCCCCCTTGTGCTTAAAAGCGACCGATTAACTTTTGTTTTGGTGTAAAAAACTTTCTATTCCTTGTTTCAGCTGGGTATTGTGTTATGACCTACCTCTTGCAAGTCGGAGATCGTCATTTGGATAATCTCATGCTCACAAAGAATGGTAAGTGTTTAGTATGCTCTGTCCTGTATTTTTTCTGTCATTAAACCTCTTCACTGCCATGTTGACGTATCATGTACATGCCCTCGCTCCACAAAACTGGTTCTCAACCATTTTTTCTACTGGTCTGTTGGGGAAGTTTTTGAAGATGTAAGTACTACAGCTTATGCAGCTGTTTATTGTTGTATAAGGGGAAAGATAATGTTATAGCTTTGTCAAAATCTTTATGGAATGAATGTTTTATTTTTTTTGTACAAACCTATATGGAAATATTTCATCAGTGAAAGGTCTAAATGTGAATTGCTGAAATTCTATATATAGTGAGGTGCAAAAAAAACGCGAATTTTTTATGTTGTTGTAATCGCCAATGCTGAGTTCATAGTTGTGTGATGTGAACTCATATCACTCAACACTTGCCTCGAGCGTCTTGATTGGGCATTTTTGAGCATCGCAAAGATGTCATTGGCTGCGTAAGCAATGCACAACTCACGAGTCATCACTCACCACTGGG